AATTTAATTTTGTTGTAATTGTAATTATCTTTGATTATTCTGGATCTAATATTAAATTCCAAATTGAATTTATATGTGAATTTGCAATATATTTCCAATCTAATTCTAGATTGAATATATTTGAATTCTATTTATTGGAATTCAAATTGAATTTGCAATTTTTATTAAAGTGAATTATGTATAACGTAATTTCTATTAATTAATTCTAGGTTAAATATCTTTAATTCAGTTCTTCCTTAGGTCTAGATCAATTTCAATTTGAATAATGGATTTTGATTTAGTATTATTCATTCAATTCTAATTTAATTCCAATCTATTTCTCATTTAATTCTATTTCATGTTGTTTTGCATTAAACATTGTAATTTTGTCTATTTCAATTTCCAATTGATTTGTTAATGATTTCTAATGTTAACGTCTTTATATAACTTAAATTCAATTGATCTATATATCTAATTGTTTAACTTGATTCCAATTCAATGCAAATGGAATTCTAATTGAGTTTTGCTTCCATTCTAGAGAATGAATATGATTGGTGGTATGAATATATTTCATTAAGGAAAGAATATACTTCCATATTGGAAAATTTTCATAAAAATCTTTTATGTTCAAAGCAAGATCAATTCCCTAGAAATAAATGCGAATTTCATAAAATCCAAATTTTTATTCAACACGAATGAAATATTAGAATTGAATCTGAACTATATAATAATGAAATTAAAGGTAAAATCGAATTATAATTTGGCTTGCATTGAATCCCAATGAAGGAAATTTGAAGCAAAATAGAATTGAAATATATTTGAAATAGAATTGAACCTGAATTTACATATAGATTTGAATTTGAATTGAATAAGAATTAAATTAGAATTTAGTTATTTAGGATTTATAACTATTTGCCTTCTAATTCTGATGTATTTACCCAACTGCATTTAATAAGAGCAATACAATTCCCACTCTAAAAGAAAGAAATATGATTTTGCATGGGGACTATTTGGTAAACACCTAGCTTATGGATTTATTTATCTTTATAATTCATAATTGAATGAATAAATATGTTTACCAATTGCATATAGAGCAGGAAATTTACAAATTTCACAACCCTTTTAAAAAGATATCATTCACCATAAAGAACAAAACCTTACAAAAGAACAACTTTCACAAGCCTATCAATGCAAGAGAGATTGCTTGTTTATATTGTAATTTTCAGCATTTCAGCAGCAGATAGAAGGCTTTGAAGCAGAGAGTGCAAAAAACTCCGCGAAATTCATATAGAACCCTTCAAAACCTTGCAAAATCAAAACTTTCACATCCCCCCCCTCACCCCCCGCTCTCTATACGTAACATTGATACAACTCTTGTCGGTTTACAGTATCAGTAATTGAAATTGCGTGTTTATATACATGTTGTTTATACATACCATGTGTATATATATATGTGTGTGTGTGTGCTGTGAACGATTGAACCACTTGACCGTGCGAACACCACCAGGGTGATCATGCGTTCTTTCCATAGGCATGGAGGCCCAGGAAGCCTAGCGAGGCAGGAATCGGGACATCCGTGCCACGATCGTCAGGAGCGCCTTTCAGAAAGAAGAGCGGATTCACAGCAGTTGGCTGATGAGACAAGTGACTCCTACATTGATTGAATCACACTGGAGGAGAAGAACAGAGTGATCATGGATGGCGACAACAGCCTCGAAGGTCGGTGTCCAAAGTGTCGGAATCGATCCGGACGGGGTTCGGTTTTTCCTGAAATGCTGGCAACAAACGACGTGGGAGGAACAAAGTGTATGACACCCAGACTTTGCTGGACACCATGACCCCAGAATACATGTGACGAAGAACCAGGAGCAGCATTTAACATCGTCGACTATGGCGAAGAAGCGTTTCTCGAACAGCTGAATGATGAAGGTGACAGAGCAAGTTAGCATCAGCCTTCCATGCGTACACTGAATGAAAGGTTCCGTCCGGAACAGTGGATTTAGGCCGATTCATGAAGCCGGCAAAGGAAAGAACAAAGGCAAAAAAGCAAGCCAAAAGGAGGCAGCTTCAATGAATCAAGTCAGCGCAAGGCCTCAAGATCGGATTTTGAAAGCCGCCTGCCGAGCTGTCTTGGTTGCGCTTCGTTTGGGCATGGATTTTAAAGGAGCATGTAAACTGGAAACAAGATGAAACAAGCCGACAAGACCATATGTATGCTTGCAACCGATTGCAACTTACTTTTTCATCTCACCACCAGGACGGCACGACCCAACTGTGCCGAATTCAGAGTTCATCTGGAAGATCGTGCGATCAAGGACTTGCTAAGGGTAAGACTTTACTACGTTCGGTTCATAGTGGAGCAGAGTTGGCAAATGCAGTCACAAAGTGCATGGAATCAAATTTCCCGAGATCCACTCTCCAAAGCGGTCATTACAAGCTAACAGCCGAGGCAGAGATCCGAATCGCGCAAAGGAGCGTGATCGCATTCGACGGCTGAATGAGCACAAAGAGAAAAACATACGGTAGTGTTTGACAAGTTTGAACGCTTGAGCCACTAAAACATCTAAACACCACCAGGGTGATCATGCGTTCTTTCCATAGGCATGGAGGCCCAGGGAGCCTAGCGGTGGGCAGGGATCGGGACATCCGTGCCACGATCGTCATAGAACAATCAGGGATCATCACGAGCGGTCGGAGAAAGAAGAGTCAGTGAACTTTGCTGCCATTCGCAGTGTGTGTTTGTGTGTGCAATGTGCGTGTTGTAGATATGATATGTGCCATGCCATCTGCAGACACATCTATGTGACCTACTACATGGTTGACCAATGAAAGTCCACTACTGAAACGGTGGGCCAATCTGCTCTATATATAAAACCACGTGGCGACCCTGAGCATCCCCATACCACCTTGCACTTTTTCTGAACCGCATGGTCTTTGTTCGGAACTTCTGGCGCACCTCTTCTACAAAGAACTCCCTTTTTTAGCCCACTCGCTCGCCCCCCTCCCTACCATTAAGTAAGGGAGAGGGGTTGCTAGTACCTTACTTAAGCTACTAGGAACTGGACGCAACTACTTCATTTTGGTCTGTCAGTCCCGTTTGTGCCACGGCGCTACTTGAACGCAGCTCTGCAAGAAGCACAAGCGCGGTTGCAACCCCAATCAAGAAGCACATGCATAGAACACCTCCCAGCAAAACTGACCAAACAAACAATAGCAATGCCTGGACAATCCTGAAAATTAAAACATTGACCAATGTACAAAAAACAACAGGGCAGCGGAAACGGCCGAGTTTCAGACAATGAACAAAACTAACAGTGTCTCGCCTCCCCGCACTCTCTGCGCTTGCATTGCGTCCAGTTTTTGCTGCCTCTTGCTTCTGGAAAAACAGCACTTCAGCCATCGGAAACTCAAGAAGCTCTTCAACAAACTGCCGCTCTGGCGGAGGCAATTGGACCAACCACCCCGGGCGCTGATGAGGACATGAAAGCTAAACATCCACAGCAGAGTCATGAGGAAGGCCTTGGATGCACTTGGAAGCAGTATGTAGGGTAGGCCCCGGCAAGGAAAACTCCAAAGTAGAGCTGTCCCAACAAACCCCTGGAAAAAAGTAATAAATAAAAAGAATGTGTAATGCCTAAAAAGGTCCGAGCGCTTTCATCGCGACCAAGCCGCAACAATCAGCATCTCATAAACAGCTGGATCTCGAAATCTAGACGCCAAGTCCGAGGCATCGAAGGTCTCATCCTCCACAATGTTGCCACCTTGCTCGACCAAATCACCTGACATGACATCCTGACTTCCAAGCAAACCCCGTTCCCTTTCGGCCACCTTATTCCATCCTGCCGACAGCCTATATCCTCATCGGAACCCCACTCGCAGACCCAAGTTGATTCGCCACAAGTTCTCTGGGAAATTCCTTGTGAGCCATGCAGAAGTGGACTTCATCAACCCAGCCCGGCCTGTGCACATGAAGTGTGATGAGGTCGCCACAGCACCACACAAGAAGTACTCAAGGGTTGCAATCACCCAAGTTGAGCCAAGACATAGCTGCGAGTTTGGCAGTAGGGACCGAGTTTGAAGAAAAGCCCACGTTGACTCAAACACTAAGCCAACAAGAACAACGGGAACGGATGAGGAGAAAACACTCCTCTCTACAAGCAGAGCACTCATGTTAGTCGAACCAATGTTGCGTTCCAATAGTGCATGTAGGCTGGTATCATTAATTACTTGGCTGGAAGTCTGTGGACGTTGGTTCGTCTACGCTGCCCTTTATGCGGCTCACCTTGGCAACAACAATGCGCCCCCCACTTCCTCGACGATTCGTATTTGTAATCGTTTGCTTCATTAATCTAACAGCTGCCAGTGCCGTGGTAGCGTGCACGAAGCCAGTGGCTTTTTAGCTACTTTCATCAAGTGTCTCTTTGCATGACACTCGGTGTTTTTTCTTGACGCCTGCCAGCGGAACCAAACAAATTCCTAAAAAGAATTGAACTGTTGAAGGAAACTCCACATGAAATCAAGCCCTCCATGGCTTACACTTTGGCTCACGCTCGGAGGCGCTACAGGCTTGAACATTTTGGAGAAGCACCGAACATCTCACTCAGAATGCTCTCACACACAATGAAAAGGATACAAAAACACTGTCTCGATGTGCACGCCAGGCAAACGCGACTTTTGAGATGCAAGTGCTCGGGTCGGGTAAAGATTTCGCGGCAAACGCGCGAATGTGCAATGTACCAAGACAGGGCACTTACTGCATCTGTTCACAAAACCTCAACCGTGAAGCCACCCAAACGCCAGTGTGTGAACGGAGAAGTGACAAAAAATCAAACGCCGCAAAAACTACAAAGGAATGCAAATGCTACCACACTAGGGGCTAAGTGAAGGAGAATGCAAATCAAATATACAAGGCCGAACGAATGCAAGTTGCTCTCGGTTCAAAGTGACCACCGCCCGCAAAGCCAATCACTGAAAACCGTGTTCAAACACTTTGTCCACAGACCTGTGAGCCCGAACATGGCCTTCACCAGAGGCTTCATGCTAGCAGCTGCTGCTGGCTCCGGATATCTCCAGTCATGCGGCGTTGATGCCATCATGTACCTCAGAAAAAGGATCAATGATATCTGATCTGTAATTCTTGCACACCCCGAGCCCTACGAGAGCCTTCTCCAGTGAATGTTTAAGCAAGCCACTCAGGCTTGTAGATGCCAGCCCACTTTCTGAGGTATTCCTGAGAGGGCAGGAGCAGTTCATTCCAGCAATGGACTCGGCAAACGTTGCCAATTGCAGCCTTGAGGAACTTGAGGAGTGATGGGTTTGTGTTGTCTGTGTCTTTTGCTTGTCTTTTTAGCCCGCGGCCTGCCCCGCTACTACTCAATTAGGTGAGCGCTGACTGAATTATGTAAGTAAGGGCTAAGTTAGCGACGGTCTAGGTAGGACGCAGGACAGTTCACGCTCGCACTAATCATTTGTTCCCAGAAATTTGGGGGAACTCAAACCTCTGTCCTTGGCGCCATCCATGGTCTCATCCAAGCCTTCCTTCTTCAAGGCTTCGCAAATGGATGCCCAGTCGCCCTTCAAAAAGTTGTCAATTCGCAAAGCCTTGCCTCGGGCGCTTTAGGGTTGCTGCATGTATAAAATGTCTTCCGAGAAGAAGCGAAACAATAAGAGTTTCTGGGAACAAGTGCATCGCTACTAGGAGCAAGGGCCTTACTAGTAGTAACAAGAAGCTAGTAG